CTAGGAGTTATCCCTTATATCGCATAGTACATAGATATCAAATTTCACAAATATGCGCCGAAAAGCTTAAGAGTGATATATTTTTGGGAATTGTATATAAGGATCTATATGTACACCTATCTTTCTAGCCTGACAATGATACAACAGTTTAAACAAATGTTTTAAAGTATTTTTTAACATAGTCTCTTATTAAGCCAACACACTTCCCCCAGTGTTGCTCCCACCTCTCCAATCCTCCTAAAAAGTATTCGCTGTCCTGCTCCTTAATTATACCATTATACTTCAGGAACAAAATCCCAATCAATAGATCAATAGAATCGTCTTCAAAAGAAGCCAAACTGCTGGAAAAGTGATGGCACCAGTTTCTTGGAGTTGTCGTCGTCGATTATTCCATATATCAGCAGTTGCCATGGTAATAATCTATAAATTGCGCTTCAGCAACCTCCTTACTTTCCAGATCCTAAGCTCTAAGTTGTTCAATATGGACCATTTGGTGAATTTTGGCGAAGTTTTCGGCAATGGTTACAGTTTTTGGGCGTTTCTGAGGTCTCCCATCTTCTAAGTTCGTACGCCCACGTTAATTTTCTATTTATAAGTAGTTTTTCTTTGGACTGAACTGGACTATGGATTGGATCCAGCCATTTAATATTAAACCCTACATCGCCAATGCACACGGCATTAATTTACAATGCCAGTTGGTATTGCATTTGGTGATAGGGACTCGCTGCTCGACCAGACACATGAAAATATACGATTTCAATAACAAAAGCAGACGCAACGTCAACCTGGAATCGATAAAGATGGCATCCAATTACGTGCAATTATAATATACTTATATACTATTTTTTTTTCTTTTTTAAATTTATATTTCTCTCAACCGAATTTAAACAAAAGAAATGTGTATAAACAAAAGCAGAATTATTTTTATTTTTGAGCTGTCGCTTCTACTCTTTGTTTATCGAATTCGCAGAATGTCAGTCAATAAAAAAAGTACAAACAACCTAAAAGTACTATAAATCATGCATATATCCGTACTCGAACTCGTACATACTCGTATGTGTAGAGTATGCAATAGCAAAATATAGCCAAGCTGATTCTGACGTTGATCGAACAATGCAATACGATAAATACATGGAAGTGTGACACAGCAGTCATCTATATTTACATATAAGTAGTACATACATACATACTTACATATATATGTATAGGTACACACATATACAAGTATACACACATACATGTTATGCGTACATGTACGGATGTATAGTTTTCAGTTTTAGTTTTCCTTCGCATCACAGCATTACAACGTTGCATTGTTTGTTGATACGAGCGGCTTATCTCTGATCCTCTGGTATATATGTACCTCTATACTACTTATTTGAAGGCATCTGTATCCAACCTAAGCCGTCTGATGACTTGCACATACCTAGGAGTATATAAGTACGTATATGTACTTGTACATATGTACAAGTATGTAAATGCGATAGGCAAAAATTTATTTTCTTCAATCATGACACAACTAAGCTTACTTTCGTACTTGTTTGTTTTATTCCCTTCTAAATTAAATTAAACCTGTGACAATAAGCAATTATATAGCTAGGCACTGTTTCATTTTTGTTTTCGCTGTCTGTCTTTATTCGTAATTGCGCGTTAATAACTGGTTTCTTTTGTTATTTGTTATTCATGTTTAATTATGCCTCATTAAACAAAAGGGAAAAACATAGCTCAAGTAAGCTATCAGGGTTTTCGATTTTAGGCGATTCGATTATTGATATGACTCCGGTATAACTTCCTGTAGAACTTGCTTTAGAAAAATAAAGCTAGGGAAATGTGAATACATCCAAGTTTTGTTTTTCTAGCTCTTAAATTTGTGAGATTTTAGCGTTTATACAGATGAATATGGCTATATAGACTTATCTTGTTATACTGATCAAGAATAGAGAGAGACATTCCTTGTGATGTTTGAATCAAATTATGTGATATCTTTTAAATACAACAAATACATATTTGGACAAATTTGGATTTTTTTTTTTTTTGACAATAAGCACAAAACTTCTCCATGCAGATCAGTTCTATCAGTGCTTTTTTGAGCAAAAACAGCTAAATTGCAAAAAAAAAAAATTAATCTAAAAAAAGCTAAATCCAAAAAAATAAATAAAATATTCCTTGTGGATTTCCAATAGAAGGTTAGTCACGGCTAGTGTCGCAGAAAGAAAGTGAGGCGATAGATCTGGTGTCAAGATAAATTTATACTCTCCTGGAACTCGACTGGGATTAAAATATGCGGCCTATATCTTCAACCGACAGTATTAGGCTTGCTGCTCTTTCCAGAGCCGCAGAATTCACTTTTCGAAAGCTGGATATTGGGGTAATTTAGTCAAAAGCATCCCTTGAGCGAATTGATTTTTATAATTATTTATGCGGGACATTTAAGAATGTGCCTTCGGCTTTTTCGAATGCATACTTTGAGCTAGAATAGCTCTTCTATGGACGATCAAAATCTTATATGTGTATGTATATTACTGTGGCTTGTCTGCAACGCCTCCTACCTTTTAGATGTTAATTGTTGTATTGTTTTGGGGGTCCATTGCGATTATAGAACGCCGGGTCAGTAACCGACCCCGTCATAAACGCGAAATGGCGCAAAGTTCAGCATGCAAACATAATTATACACATGTACAAGTATTAAACGCTTCTAAACAAAGAGTTAAAACAAATACATTCAGTAGGAGCCCAAACGATGCTCAGCTTAATTGCTAAATGTAAGCCAATCGACAAAGTGGAGGTGGGTGGACGGACTTGTACCTATGGATGGAGAGTCCGTGTCCGTGAGTTGGCTAAAGTCGAGAGTTGGCCAACACACACTCACTCGTTAAATGAGGGCCGTTGGCAAGTGGCAATTGCCAGCTGACCGGCATTTTGACGGTCAATGTACAATGGCAACATATATGTGTAGATATGTATGTATGTCTGAGTGCTCATACACACAGACACCAACATATACTTGAACATACATGTATGTGTGTAGTTGCCGCTATTTTTGACTTTTTACTGTACACTTTTTATGGCGTGCATTGTAATTAAAGCTGGTAAAAGGTTTTTGTTTTTAAGCTTTTCGGTTTAGATAGTAAAATCCAAACCACTTAACTGTACATATTTATAGGTCTCGCATGCTCTGCCCAGAGCACATAGTGCGAGTACATATGGGTATAGGTACATACTTGTACATACATATGTGGCCTAGCGTGTCGTCGTGATGATGATATAATGCCCGCTCGTCGTTTATGACCCAACATTAAAGCGGAGACCTAAATATGTGCTCGGTAATGAACAGAAAGAATAGAAAAGTTCAAATGCTTATAATGCCGTTAGTATGGGAGATGATCCAAAAGTTCGGAATTGTAGAAATGCGTAGTACACAAAGCGGCATTAACTCGTTTTCGGTCCATGTACAAGGCATTCTGCAAATGGTGGGGAAACCTTATACAGAGGGGAGAGATCTAGAATAAAAATGTAATTTAAGCCAATTTACAATGAACTCATTATTAAATAGCTGAAGCCAACTTACCTGACCGCGAAAGTGTTTAAATAATTATCAAACAATCAGAATACATTTTAAATAAATTGAATTATATAGTATTAAATTAAATCATTTACATTATATCAAAATGTTATAGCTTTTAAACATAAATGCGTTCTTAAATTGCTTTAAAACAGAGACTGTAATCATTAAAGTGTTTTATAAAAATGGCAACAATGATTATTTTTGGATTTACTTTACAAATTGACCAATAATCATTTTTTTAAGCAAAAAAAATTAATAAAACTCCTAAATTAATGATTATTTTTTGAGTATTATTTTTGGGTCAAAATTAAAACTCAAGTATGGCGACAGATTTCACATTTTTCTACAAATATGCATACATTTTTGGATCTGAAAGGTAGCTGAGTTCTAAAGTTCAGAAAATTCGGATGCCTAATATACTAATAATACATACTTGTACTAATACTTTCTTATTTTCAACACCTGCAAAGCACGTTTGTCTTAGTTTTCAACATGTTTACTTTTTTAGGTCTGAGAGGATAGCAATACAAAATAGTCGCGAAATAGTCGTTTCCCTTCTTTTATGACTTAACTATACATAATATATCATTATATTTTCTGCATATTTATAAAGTAGTACTTGGAAACTATACTTTAAAGCAGCTTCACATCAAAATCCAGATGGAGTTCTACCAATGTAAATGCTTTTGTAATAATTAATATCTTTGACAGTTGCAATTGGAAAATAACCTTCCGTGTAAATGCGGGCTAAAAAAAATGAATTTTGTTGTCATCTGTGAAGGTCGCACTTTTCTCTTCTTGAGATTTGCTTTGATGGAATTGTTAAAATAAATATTTTCTTATGCGATTGTCTTTATAGAAGGAATCTAAGACAAAATATAGTCGTTAAAATTTCGGTAACCTAACAGAAACTGCCAATACGTTGAAAAGTTCTCTGTCTTAAAAATTGTAAACTTTCAGTTTTACAGAACAACAATTTGCGACAACAATTATTATTAACAATTATATTATAATTATATTTAATTTTTTTCAATATTGAAAATGCTGCAGCTTACAACATTTTCAATCATACTCATAATTAAATGCAGTAGTTCATCATCGTGACACGATAAACTTATTTTACATTTGAATAATTATTTTGAAAGTGTGATTCAATATTAATATATGCTTAAAATTGGCTGACAATGGCAACGTTTGTCGGTGCATTCGTCGCCATATCGACTGCAGTCCATGTTGATATGAATCGGTCTTTATTTAAAGCGACTACTTTGTTGTAATACTTAATCGAAATTCTAATATTCTTAGCACATTTCGTTCGATGGCAATCGGCTCGAACTTGTTACATACATATATATGTACATAAGTAGAATTACTCATAAATAATTGCAAGCAATTGGTGTAACTAATACTCCTACATTTTTGTTATCTATTGCAGGCCTGCAGCAGCAAAAACAATGCACAAAAAACAGTCAATAGCAACAGATGTGATAGCAACGCTTCAACTATGCAACTAGAATTCAGTGCAAAGATGCGAAGACAACGTACCGCAATGCAGCGCACAGGGACAACATTAGCAGCGACAGATGCAACAACAATAGCAACAATGAAACCAGTAACAGCAACAACTGCAACAACAAAGTCATGGCTACGAAATCTTTTGCAATGCACCTAGGAAATTTGAAGAAACTGAGAACAAGCCAAAGAGAAGCAGCTGTTGTGCCTACGTTGGCCAATTGAATTGTTAGTGGTGTGCGACAGCAACAGCAACAGTAGCAGCAACAACAACAACAAAAACAACGGGTGCTAAATGAAACTGAAAGCAAAGTCAAATATTACGCATTGGAGAGAGATCCGTTAACTTTCTGTTGAAGAGAGTTTCGCATGCAGATTCAACTGCTACACCACGCACGAGCTAATCAAATGAGGGTGCAACAATACCGCCAGCAACAGCAACAACAGCAGGTTCACCACCTAAACAAATCCACCAACCACTAATAGCAACATAAAAATAACAACAACAAAAGCAACAAAAGAAGAAAGAAAAAACCACCGATTTAAGCAGACAGACCGGACGACCATAAAAACAATATCAATAGTAACAAAAACAGAAACGCCACCAACATTATTTACAACAACAACTAAATATTAGCAAAATGTTACAAAACTCGAATGCAGCAGCAACAGCATCGGCATCGGCAGCAACAACAACGACAACAACAGCAGCAACAGCAGCAGCAGCAGCAGCGGCCGCAAACAATGCAGCGATCGCTGCATCATCCATACAGCCAAAGTTGGTTGTCATACGAAGGCGACCGAATCAGGGTTTCGGCTTTACGCTGCGCCATTTTATAGCCTATCCACCGGAAGATGATGTCGCCAGCTGGCCACAGGTAAGTGAACAAGAGCGCCACATGCGAGAGAGAGAGAGAGAGAGTGAGAGAATAACAGTAAATTTTAATGTTGTTCCGTTCCATTTTACCATCATCGTCATCGGCATCGTCATTGTGAGGAACATTAACACCTGTGTATGTATGTATGTACGTACGTACGTACGAGTATGTATGTATGTGCTATATATATTCATATAATTAGTCATCGCCTGTGCTTTGCCACTTTTGCTCTTAATGCCATTGCCTCAATGCTTCGCTGGCTGCCGCCAGTGCTCGCTTTTGCCCCATTGCCACATAGCTATTGCTGTTGCCATTGCGCGGTTCTCATTGCCGTTACGTGAACCACTGCGCACGCGCGCCGCCTGCGCCAAACTCGAATCAGGCATCGGCAGCGGCAGCGGCTTGCCGGGCTTATTTAAATTGGTGCTTGCTTTCTTTTTGTCTAAAGTATTATGAAGAGTATAGCCGAATTATTTTCTTAGCATGTTTGTAAAGCGCATACATACAAGTCCTGTTCAAAAGAAAAGGTGAATTTTGATTTATTTTGAAAAGTATTTATTTATTCATCAATATCCATTTTGTCCCCTTCAAAGTAATCCCCCTCAGATATGATGCACTCTTGCCACCGCTTCTTTCAATCATCGAAGCACTTCTGAAATGCGCTTTTTGCGCGTTCTTCGACATTATGACATTACTTGTATCATCAATTGTGGCAAAACGCTTTCCTTTCATTGATGTCTTCAGTTTTGGGAAAAGGAAAAAGTCGCAGGGAGCCCTAAGTGGCATGGCATAAATGCATTACATCTGAGGAGGATTGCTTTGAAGGGGACAAGAGATTCATCTTGAAAGATAAATGCTTTTCAAAGGAATTCAAAATTCACATTTTCTTTAGAACAGGCCACGCAAACGTTCCATAATTTCCTTGTAGTATTCCTTATTCACCGATCTATTGGCAATAACTCATGATGTACCGCGCATTGTAATCGAAGAAGATGTGAGTGAGCAAAACCTTCACCTTTTTTCACGTTGTGTGCAGGCAGACGGACATCGCCAATGGGATTCGTATTGCCACCTACTTACTAAATAACGTGTGGTAAACCACTTGGGCGTTACAAACTAACCAAAAACAAAAATGTTTCATTTGTGTCTATATTGTTGAGCGAATTAAAGTAAAATACAATTGATAATGTTTTATAATTTGAGTTATACTCGATATCAATTAATTCAATCTTATCTGCTATCGGCAACTATCGATTTTTGATCACTGCTGATTATTAGTCCCTATACTTAGCTATTCGATGCTTAATTATTAGCTGTCAGTGATTACTGGGTGTTCCTACTGTTATGCAAATAAGGACATTCCTAAAGTATGTATTTTTATGTGAAATGTGCATTTTAAGAATAGTAGTACTTGTAGTTATCGAAGTCCTAGTCAGAGTATTCTGACTTCGGATAACTTCAAAAAAAGGTTTTTAAAGTAATTTTTTTTTTGGTCCCCACTAATTTGCGTTTGCTCACTTCACTTAAACTGCTGACGCTCTTTCGCTCTCTCCCTCTACTTGGCTAAGTGACTTGCACTCTCACTCACAATTTTTACAGAAATAGCATTCAGCTCTTTGCTATTACTGGTGTGTAGTTATTGTTGTTGCTACACGATTCATGAACACGTTTTTTGTTTTGCTGTGTAGGAAGCCCGAGTCATCGGCAGCGGCAGCAACAGCGCAAGCAGCAGCAGCGGCGGCGGCGGAGGGGAGGCTACGTCACCAACTTCGCTACCGCAATACCAAGTGAAAGCGATGGAGACCATTTTCATCAAAGAGGTGCAAGCGAACGGACCAGCGCACTACGCCAATTTGCAAACGGGCGACCGGGTGCTGATGGTGAATAACACGCCAATAGCTGGCATTGCCTACAGCACCATTGTGTCGATGATCAAGCAGACGCCAACCGTGCTCACGCTGCACGTGGTGCCCAAGGAGTGCGATGTGCTGCAGATGGTAAGTCCAAACAGTGATTTAATTGCGAATTGCGAGAGAGATTGTTGTTTACGTTAAAGTGTCCAAAGATTCTTCTGTGCACAAGAATTCCTCTACTAAGTGACAGCTACATATGTTAATAGTGTTAATAGCCTATGCTCAAAATCTGTTTCTATTGCGAACTTTTGTGACGCATATCGAAAGTGGAGATCGTTTTCATTTTGTAATATTCAATAGCATTAATACAACTTATTTTAAATAAAAATAAATATTTAAATATTTTAAATCAAAAGAACGATGGCAATATCGAAATGAAAATTACTGCATCCCTAACCAATATTATTGTTAGGTTTCCTGTTGCCTTTTTATTTATTCTTTTAAATAAATAATGATATTACTGCTTAGCGTGCGTGCGAATAATTATTATTGTCATTAATCCTTTGCAGCACTACACCAGCATAGCGCATACACCTGAGTCGAATCGTCTGCCCATGATGACGACCACAGCGGCAGCAGCGGTAGCAGCAGCGTCCACGGTGGTAGCAGCGGCCACTGTCTGTCCACAGGCCCCATCGCCCGCAATTTCCAATGGCGCCTCCACAATCAAATCATTTCCACAGCAACAGTTGATCTCATATCCCGCTGTTGCGACCAGCGCCAGTTTGTCATCATCGCTATCGCAAGCGACGCATGCGCCGCCATTGCACGGCGGTAGCCGCTCCGGCAGCATCACCAGCAATGTCAGCGCCAGCGGTAGTGGCAACATGCAACGCCATCCTGCGCTCAGTGGCGGCAGCAGCAGCATTGACTTTGGCGACATGGAGCACAGGCTGCGCCAACATCAGCATCAGCAACAATTGATGCTCTATCAGCAACAACAACATGGCAATCTACTCGCCATGCAGCGCAGCGTGGACGCAGGCTTTATGCGGTAAGTACCAATCCATCAGCAAGTACAGTGAAAATGTAATGTGACGGATAGTGAATTTATTATTTCTTTTGCTAAAAAAATAACTTCACCTAATTCTGTTTTTACACGATAGATTGGTTCCAGAAACAACCGTGTAAAAAAAGACATTGATCATATGCAAAAATAGGTGATTGGTTCCTCATCTCTAAAGAAATATACATATATGCAATTTTTAATTTTCAAAAAAGACCGTCTTTATAAAATAACAAACAATTCATTTATAATATTTTCCGTATTTCCAAAGATTCTTTTTCTTGTGCCTTTATGTAAAATACGATATTGTCAAAGCCTTGATTGGTTTGATAATATAACTCACACAACTAGCACATATATTTAAAAAAAACTTGATTGCACCATTGTCGTGGTCTGCAAACTATAGACCACACTGCGACTGTACTATCCAACTTTTAATTATAATATTACTCATTTAGAATTCGGTCACCTTTTGCGACCCACGGGGGATGATAACAAATGACAACATTCTCAAGATGCTATTTGCTTCCAATATCTCTCTAAATAAACAAGTTCTATACAGTTTTTTTGAGATTGTAAATCATATCGTTTCCATGACAGCTATATGATATAATGCTCTGAAATGGTTGATCGCAATGTCTTTCCAAAATAAAAGAAAAGTTCAGAAACGATTGAGGTTAATCGATTGCCATAGATACAATAAATATAAACTTGAGACTATTTAGACAAAATCTCACCGCTGAAAAGGTCTTTTAATTAGTGATGTAAGTCTGAAATGAATGACAATGATGTTATATATCGGAGACGAAAATTGCTGTGATATACTTCGCTATAGTGAACATAGATGAATCGAAAAATTAAACATCGATTTTTCATAAAAATGTTTAATTTAATTTTTAATTTTTGCAATATTTTTAAGTCCTTTCTTTCTTGGAGAGGTTTGATAGAAATATGTACTTAAAAAGAAATCGTGAAAATCGATGTACGTGTATGGATGCATATTTAAAGCAATACTTCTAATTTAACTATTCAGGGCGCTTGGCCTATTCAGCCGTACCTTTTCTTACCCATAACCGTGCCTCTGAACCCATTCAACGAAATTCGAAATGAATGTACGATTGACAGAAAAGGGAGGATTCGTGTATTCAAAAAATCTAGTTATTAAAAAAATAAAATAAATTTTAAAAAATTGATAATCATAAATATTTTATGCTGCCAACACAAATATCTTCTCTAAAATAGAAAAAAAAAACATCTTATTATATTATATTCCTTCAGGATAAAGCCCTGTTTTGTTTCAAATTGTAAAAACTCATCAGTTTTGTTTGCTTTCACAGCTAAGTAGTGTTAGGTCGCTGTTTTCGGTATTAATTGGAAGCAGAACTGAATAAAGAGTTACGCTATTCTTCAAATCTCCGTCACTCATGAGAAATTGTCTTAATGCGTTTTTCCAAGGTAAAGGCTTCGCTCAACAATAACAGGTTTCTGGAAATCTGCCCACAACAAATGTGTGTTCGTTATGCGAATTTTCTCTGTACAACAGCATTGTATCAGCCATCAATCAATGGCCTACCGTCTGTCTGGCCGCCCAATTGACGTCAGTCCGACCCACGGCAGGCAACACGACGAAGACGTTATCTTATCAATGGCGGCAGTTTTGCGTCTGCTGCTATCTCTCTGTAGCTGTACCTCCAGAGCTGTGCCGACCTGCTGTATTTTCTCTTTCGAATTAAATGACAACTTTTAGTGCAATTAGAAAAGGCAACCAGCCTATGCTGGCAGAGGCCCGCGTCATTCAATGAACCGCCGCAGTGGCACAGTGGGAAGAAAATTCACAAACATGGAGTTTATCGCTTGCCCACTTTATTCTCTATTTTATTTTATTTGTAGTATTTATTTGTATTGTTGCAATTTTCGATTTCTTTGATGGGTTCTCGGCTAGATGGCAGTAACAGAGGCCGGCATCAGCTCAAATCCCCGGAATGATTTCGCCAAACGCATGGCAACAAAGAAGAATGCATAGCTCTTGATAAAGCTCCAGCAAAATCGATCGTTATAGATCACACAGAGAATAATACGTATCATGCGCAAACGCTTGCCCATTTTAGCAATTCTGCTTCTAATGAGATCTTCTGAAACAACAACAAATGCAAGCACGACTTAAGATGAGTTTCAAAACGTTTCAGCTAATCTGGCTTACCTGTTGAATTTTTGTTACAAATCCGTAGCGGAAGACGTTGCAGATCTAGAAATATTTCTAAATATTTAACGGTCGAATTTTGAGAAATGTGCTCCAACGTGTGTGTATATGTTGTGTTTTGTATTCTGAAATTGTTTGTAGTGCAAGTTGATACTAAACTTTTTGAATATATCCTTAAGGCTTACTTTGTTAGCTCATTATTTTGCTTCCAGCACATTGAACACTGTATTGAAAACATTATATTCGGTAGGCCCATCTGGAACACATTTTTTAGCTTTTCCCCATCGTATTTATATTTTTAAAATCCAGTATATTTCTTATAAGCTATTCCACTTTTCACCAAACGTATAACATATCTCGAATTTAATTCGACGCATATCGTCCTGCTTACCAGGATTGGGATGTCTGCCATTAATGTTTACATACATATAAATTGTTCGATATACGCGTATACAATAAAATAAAATATGTTTCATATAAGAACTCTGTTTAAAGCTGATCGGGGCTTTAATATAGTGGTCCTAGCTTGTTCCATGTGATTTAACCATTACACAATTCGAAGAAGTTATTCTAATTTAATCACCACATCACCTGATTTTTTATTGGTTTTATAAAGTTTGATCTGACATAGTATTATCTCCTTCAGCTTGATAGCTTTAAAACGTCTAATCATTATAAATATCAAAATTAACTCAATTGTTTAAAAAACATATTGTTTTTTTTCCGTTTGATGCTCGCCTACCACTTATAGGTCTGTTTATAAGTGCATGCAAGGATCTCGGAAGGTATAAGCCAACTATAGCCAAAAATGTTATCTGCCCCTGCTCTGTTGTTGTTGTCCTTTTGATTCAATTCCGTACCGTACATATACATAAGTATAAGTCCAACGGAAAAAGGGCATACTTCGGTAATGCGAATGTATGTAATACAAGAAGAAGGCGTGGCCGACCCCACAAAGTATGTATGTAATATTCTTGATTAGTATGAGGAGACAAGTCGATATAGTCATGTCCGGCTGTGTGAGCGGACGAATTTGGAAAGTACACCGGGTGGTGTAGGGTATTGTAAAGTCTATAATTTGCAAAATAAACATAACTTCCATAGAAACCCTTGTACACATTGATTTAGAATTGTGGACCAAAAGCCAAACTAGACATCTAAATTGGTATTTTAGAATATAATGTATAGGAATAATAGGACGTTGAAAGGACAATCAGTTTATTTAGGCTTATATTACTGACTCCAATAGACTTCTTTTGATTCATTAATTTACGCTCTGCTTGCATTTGCATTTTCAACGAACCTGTGGACGTAATCCAAGATAAGTATTTCATTTTTCTTGCTCGTCAAAAGAAATGTCAAAAACTCGTCACCACATCCATTTGTGCCCATGTGTTTAAATGTAAATAAACAAGAAATTTAAACGTTGGTGTTTTATAGTATACGAGTATATTAGGTGCAAAAGATATTCCATTTTGGCATCCGTTTGCATATAAGAATATGGACGTGTAAGTGTACGAGTTTGTCTAGCAGGCCGATAGCCTTTTCGGTATGCGATTCAAAGAACCTGCAGACCACTGTGCATTTGATTTATGACATGGAGCTGACTTGTCTGCCAGCCAGTCTCACCGTCTGTCTATGCATCTTTATATCTGTGTGTATTTTAATTTTATTTTGTTTGCCAATTTGCATTCATTTATGCATATACATACGGCTTATGTATGCCCATATGCATTTTCACCATGGACGACGGCAGTCCATGTAGTGGCGAAGCCGCCAGCACGTTGGAACACACAGAATTGAAATAATTCGACTATAATGGGAGTTGTAGAAATTTGAATGACTTTTTGAAAATCTCATTTGTTATCCTGGGAAGTAGATCTGGAAATATATTCAATATATTTCAAATCTCTGTCTGACTCGCCGGATAAGATAAACTTAAATTTTTGTCAAAATATCGACTTCTAAATATATAGATATTTGATAACTCATACAATTTAACCGTTACTGCGGTTCCACGTGAAAAAGAGTTTGCTGCCAACCGTGTGAACACCAATTGTCTACAAGCGCAAAAAAATCTATGAAATTTTTACTAAGGCGGGTCTTTCAAAGACATATTATTTTGTCTGACGCTAGACACACAATCGGCGAGTCAGCTTATGAGATTCCTTGGTTTTTGCAGCCTCGTTACACGAACCTATTGATACAACGGATCTCACTTCTTTCCTAAACCGTTCTAACAACCGAGTTCGAAAAAAGTAAATGGCTATGCTTTATCCAGACGCAGACAAAGAGTATTACAAACCATGTACGAGTACATGCCCATCACACTAATCAAGAATACCTATTTTTGCATACAGGGTATAAAAAGCCCAATGTCACAAAATTGTGTCATAGATAATGTGCTGGAAATGCTTCCATCAGACTTTTGAATGTTCATTTAAGCATGCATTGTTGTTCTTGTTGTCATCGTTTGTTGGCAAAATTAAGTACACTTAATGACATTAACTAACCACAACAATGACACAAGCATTAGCTTCAGCTTCAGTAACAAAAACAACGAACAAAGGCAGTAATAATTAAAAACAATTGTAAATGAACTCTGTGCGATTTTTCCAGCGATGCGACATACTTACATACGTGCATACAAACATTTACGGTTCCCCTCTTTTTATGTGGGTCTGCGAGTCTGTCTGTCTGCCTGTCTACGGCCGTATGTCTGTCTGTCTGCCAGTCAGTTAGTTGGACTGCACTATGCGAAACATTTTGCCAAACAATGTCCACTGCGGAATCTTTTATTATACCCTGCATCCAAAGGGTATATTAGTTTGCTGCGACTGTGTGTAACACAAAGAAGGAGGGGTGGCAGATCATACAGAGCATATATATTCTTGAGCAGGCTGACAATCTCAATCGAATGACCAAACTTGATATCCAGATTCTTTTTAGACCGAGAAAGGACGAGTTTAATTTATTACTGTTTTCCGCAAATCCCGTTATTCTGGGAATTCGTTACTCAAATTATTTTTGTGCCCTTATGTTATTTTTTTAAGCTTGGGTTCAGGGTATATAATAGTTGGCCCTGTCCAACTCTAGCTTTCCATTCTCGTTTTTTGTTGGCACAGACGTCAGACATTTCGTTACCATTAATTAATATGATGAGCCATGGATGCGAATGCGGCAGCATATAATTTAAATGTAGAACATAACACAACAACAACAACAGCGTCACTAATAAAAGCTGCTAATTTGATCGAGGCGTTGTTATTTTATTTTTCAAATACACATGTATGTGTCATCAAAGATATTTGCCGTGCATTTGAAGCCAATGCAAATGCGAGTAAGTAGAAATATTAATCATCATACAAAGTGTTTAAAGTCTAAAGTAAAATCAATTGATTTTATTCAAAATAGTCCCCTTCGGTCTTCACGGTCTAAAAGCATGTCAAACGAGTGTTTTCGCTCGTTGGCCGAGATGGTCGTCAATAAAAGACTTTTGACGGCAAATATATATATATTTTTAAAATAATAATAGTCGCACCATGCCAAATCAGGCGATCAATCAAAAAAGCAGCCACCTATGAGCCCAGTTTTTGGTTATCAGTCAACTTGTATGGAAAACAGCACAACCCAGACCCAATTATTCATTGAAAATGCAATGAATTGTTGATTTGGGCATATTTAATTGCATTTCAATTAATTTCAATGAAGATTTTGACCATAATATCTAGGATTTCCAAACTTGGCATCCTCCCATGTGCGAGAAGGCATAACTTTGTGTGTGTGTTTTTTTATACCCTGTACCCGTTGGGTAAAAAGGGTATATTAGGTTTGTGCAAAGTATGTAACATGCAGAAGGACGCATCTCCGACCCCATAAAGTATATATATTCTGAATCAGCATGACGAGAGAAATCGGTCTAGACATGTCCGTCCGTCCGTCTGTCCGTCTGGATGAACGCAAGGATCTCAGAAACTATAAAAGCTTGAATAACCAAAGTTGGCATCCAGATTCTCCTAGGTTCGAGAAAGACGAGTTTATTTTTTTTTTAATTTTCCCCCCTTTCCCCGCTACAGAATTTCGTCAATAGCGTCCACATTTCAAATGCTACCTAAACCAAACTTTGCACACATAATATACATATAATTATCTACTGTTGTTTATTTTATTCAATTTTATTCAATTCTGTCAATTCTAAGAAAAGTTATTAACGAAAAAAATTCTCGGCAGTACAAACATGTAAATCGACTCTATCATTTCATTCTTGTTTTATAAAAGAGAAATTAAAACCATTGTGAGCATCAAAATTAAATTATAAAATATATTCATACATTTTCCTATCTAAATACTAGATTAACTTATTTCTTGCGACACAAAATCGATATAAATAATTTTAACTGAAGCCGTTCTGATTCGTGAGCTTCGTGTAGTTATGAAATAAATAGAATATTTACCTTTCTTAAAAAAAAATATTTTCTTATCGCCTCCACCGCCCATTCAATGCTAATAATGGAAATGTCACGTTTTCGTTTGAATGTTTTATATTGCCTTTAATGTCTTCCATTTATTGATGCACCATATTCATTTGCTTTATATTTAATAATGCTAACACTCTAGTTCTCCAGATCTTGGGCTTGTCTTCCATATTTACGAACTGCTTTTTGTCGCATCCTTACTTCATTGATACGAATGCATTTCGCAAATTTCGAATTTCTCTCATCTCGAAAACTTACCAAAATATCTACCATATATGCATATGCACTCGCATTTCTGCACAGTTCGTGGCCACCGAATGGTAGAACATCAAAATCGTGAAACCAGAGAATTTTGCGATTTGTAGCATTTTTTTTTTTTTTTTTGCGCTTAGTTTCCTACCACGTCATATTCATTTTTTTAGTTGATTTTTACTATGGGTAGTGGGTAGTAATTTTTCTTCTTTTATTTATTTATTTGTTAGCAATTCCGATATAAAACAAACAAACCAGCTCTCTCGTGGGACTTACGAGCGAAATTCAAAATGCCAAAAACATTTTTAATAACATCATCAATTT